GGCCGGTTGTCTGTGTTTTTATATATATATATATATATATACACACACACACACACACACACACACACACATTATATACTGTATACATAAATGAGAGCGACAATTAAGAATTAAAAAGGACGGATTAAGCAAGGAGTGAAGTGGGTTTTCATCCCGGAGACCTTAATAGGCTATTTCATCTCAACATTATTTTTATAGCAACACTGCCACCTAGTGTATAGTCAGAGAACATAAAGTGCAGACGGACACCCATTTCACAAACATCAATCCAGCTGGTTTAGAAAGCTGGCTGGGTTGTCTGTCTCTCGGTACCCGCCCAGCACGCTGATGGCTAGGATTTCGAAAAGTGAAGTTTTTATGATTATGATTTAATTTTATCAGAGTAACTATTTTTGTGTCGTGAAAGACTTAATGTTGAGTTGCTTCTCAGTAAGACATTAAAAATACTGTCTAAAGAAACAGTGATGTCATTTTGTTTGATTGATGGCCAGTCGAGATAGATAAGATAGATAGATAGATAGATGCTCACCAGCAATCTCACCATTTGGACCATTCATTGGCTGCAGGACTTCACCCTCTGTCACGTCTGCAGTCATGGATGTAACAGCCTCCCGTGTGTCCCTACATGACCATTGACAAAGTATCACTGCATGATGATGACAGATTACTATTCAATTATTATAATGAAGTGCTTCCTAGAATGAAAATGCTTTTATTCATGTCAGTCACCATCGGAAGTAAGTGATCAGATTACTATTCAATTATTATAATGAAGTGCTTCCACAACGAGTGAAAATGCTTTTATTCGTGTCAGTCACCATCGGAAGTAAGTGACTGCTATGTATGTGGTGCAATGCTGCCATTTGTTGGCTCAGATAAGTTGACTTAAGTTAGGACATGAAAATTCAGCAAAAAGTAAATAAGTGAATTAAACTTACCCTTTTAAGACAAACACGAGCCTGGTTTTGATGTATTTAAGGTAAGGAGAGTCATCTAAAAAAAAGGTGAGAGATTATTTTAATGTAGTTGTACGAAAATGTACTGTTAAAAACAAACAAAAACAAAACATTGTTTTTCTTACTTCCACTCATGTCGGCATAGTACTTTCCAAAAGCCTCATCTTTGGGAGTGTTGGGATATAAATAAAGCAAAGGATTTTGTGGGACCTCTTTTAAGATAAGGAAATGCCTGATGATTTCATGGAAGGGAATCTGGGAGAGGTCAGTTTTGGTGAAGGGCTGGATTGTCTTGACTTCCGGATCACCTATAGATATAAATGGCACATGGACAAAAGTTAGCATGCCATCGCTACAGTATCAAGCGCGGTTCCCAAATTTAACATGCTCACCAGTTGCGTCGATTTCCACCCAGGAGAAAGTGATCCCTCCAATCACACTTTCACTAAAACGAATCAAGAAGGTGCCCTTCTGTTTTTTCTTCAGAAGGAGCTTCTCTTTGCATTTGGTCACAAAGCCCATGATGAGGCTACGATACAGATGAGGAGAAACTAATTGAAAAAAAAAAATGAAAGGCTCAAATTTGAATCATGCATTTAGGGTCCTCCACATACCCATCCCTCCACAGGTTTTCAAGATACGTTTTCACCATCACCACGATGCTGTCAAACCACACCCAAAAGGTGTCAGGACTGTTTTCCTAGACCAGGGTCAGGACAAGGCAGGTGACAAAGTTACATATTGGAACCCACGGGCAAGGATGCAACACATTGATTCAGGTGTGAAGACCGTCAGAATAAGAAACAGGAGTATCATTAAGTGAGATGTTGTCAATTAACTAAGCATGGTGTTGCTATTCTCTCCTTAATCTATTTATCGTCTTATTTGTGTGAAACTTTGTAATTTCTTACCTTTGAAAATTTGGACCAAGTTACACTACAGATGTCGTAGCTCTGTTGCTTTCCCAGATGGACAAAAACATATATAATAATAATAATAATCAAGTACAAGAAATCTTTTATATCTATATCTACAGTATATATTCTATGTTATATAGTATCTCAATGTGTCTGTCAACAGAATTATAAATGAAAAATAGATGCGTCGCAGAATGCTGTTTCTAATCTCGTTTGATTCTCACCTCTCACATCTATCCTTCCATGCATAATCGGAACTGCTTAAACCTTATGGTCAGAACACATTAAAGCTATGCGAAATCTTCTGCGGGAATCATATCATATCGTGAGAGGCAGCAAACAATAGCCCGGTGTGAAATCGGTAACACTTTTTGGCCGTCGACGTCAACTTACCAAAAAGTCTGTGTGCGATCATTTCCAGCTGAGCGTCATTCAGACCAAGTTGAGTGGCAGACAGAAACTGCCAACTCAGCATCTCTCCAAACTGTGGCCAAGTGGCTGCCGGAGATTTGGCAAAGAACATCATATCCTGTGGGAAATGAAAAATAATAATCGTTTCGATCATTT